AGGGACCTGGGCAAGCTGGAGAAGTGGGCCCGTGTGAACCTCTTGGGCTTTAACAAGGCCAAATGCAAGGTCCTGCACTGTGGTCCTGGCAGGCCCCAGTATCAGTACAGGATGGGGGGTGATGTCCATGGGAGCAGCCCTGCAGAGAAAGACTTGGGGGTAGTAGTGGACAAAAAGCTGGGCATGAGCCACCATTGTGCGCTCGCAGCCCAGAAAGCCAGTCACATCCTGGGTTGCATCAGAAGAAGCGTGGCCAGCAGACTGAGGTGATTCTGCCCCTCTGCTCTGCTCTGGTGAGACCCCACCTGCACTGCTGTGCCCAGCTCTGGAGCCCTCAACAAAAGAGGACATGGACCTGTTGGAGAGGGTCCAGAGGAGGCCACAAAACTGATCAGGGAGCTGGAGCGCCTCTCCTACGAGGACAGGCTGAGAGAGTTGAGGTGGTTAAGCCTGGAGAAGGCTCCAGGGACACCTTATAGTGTGAAGGGGGCTACAGGAAAGATGGGAAGGGACTGTTTACAAGGATGTGTAGCGACTGGACAAGAGGCAATGATTTTAATCCAAAGCGGGGTAGATTTAGATTAGACATTAGGAAGAATTTCTTTACTATGAGGATGGTGAAACACTGCAACAGGTTGCCCAGAATGATGGTGGAGACCCCATCCCTGGAGACACTCAAGGTCAGGCTTGATGGGGCTCTCAGCAAACTGATCTAGTTAAAGATGTCCCTGCTTACTGCAAGGAATGAATGGACTAGATGACATTTAAAGGTCCCTTCCAACCCAATGCATTTTATGATTTCTTTGATGGCCTCCCTGGAGGAGGAAGCTGCGAGCAGGGAGGGCCTCAGTGAGCCTCCCAACCTCACCCCTCCTCAGCCCTTCTGCCTAGGGGTCAGCCACAGACTCAGACCCCTGAGGCAATGAGTGGCAGGAGGCAGTGGGGCACTTCTCAGCTGTGACACTTTCTCATCACCCTCCTCCTACCTGTGCCGCAACAGCACCTGCCCCCAGCCCAGCACCAGCCAGCTTGTTTTCACAGCTGTTTCTGGCTTGGAGAAATTGATTTCTCCTTCCCCACTGGCAGTGCTAGATCTCTACTTTGCAATGATCTCTTTGTTCCCTTTTGCCTCCAAAACCCCACACCAGCAGGTGTTGCAAGTTGAGTTACTTTCGATGTGTTCTTGTATGCCAGATAGTCCCTACTCTAGTCCCACCCTTCTTATTCAAACACGAATGCTGCAATCCTTTAAAGTTTAATTCACTGAAACCTTCTATTTAAAACCTTATGTGTGTGCTGGTAACTATAAACCCAAGCCTGTTCAGTTCGGTGTCATTGAACCAGCCAGAAAATTATCACAGAAGAAAGAAACAGATGGGGTGCTGGTTGTAAGGAGAGAAATGTCAAGTATCTGAGGCAGATGTATAGCAGGACTGTGAGACAACCACAAACAGGAGGTGCAAGAAAGGAGACTTCTCAGATGACATGGCTTTTATTCGTTCAGATTATTTTGTAGATGAAAAGCGGTTTCTGCTGAAGTAAAAATCTTAACAATGGTACTATTAAGTATTTGCATAATAACTCTCGTATCTTCCAAAAATACTATTAGAAATACAGATATGAATGTGTGTACACACATGCACTCAGTTGCAGAGAGAATTTTTTTTAGCTGTTATTTGTAGAAGATGCTTTATGCTATGGGCTTTTCAGCCATGTGGCTGAAGGTAATGACATGTCTTAACACCTTGCAAGATAATTTGTCAGGAATACTGCAGGGAGAAAGAGAAAGGTAGTTCTCAAATCTACAGCCATAGTATTTCAAACAGTGTTGACTCTATCCCTTTGTGAATTCCAAACTTGCCCAAGAGCTCACTTTATGTAATGCAGGAAGAAAAAGCAGTTTTCACGACCTAATTAGAGGAGCTGGTAAATCTAAACATCAGGATTCCTCCTGAAATATATTTATAGGAATTTCTGTATTTCACAAATGACCTGCTTCTGTGGCCGAAACATTATATGGATTATTTATGTCCTCCTTCTCGGCATTTACTCCTGCTGGAGGTATAGTGTGGCATAAGGGCTGTCAGGATTAAAACTTCCTTTCTCTGGGGCCATAAATGAAGGTGATACAATATGTGTGCAATAGAATGGAGCATGCAATAAGCAGGAAGGAATGAAGGGGATATGTGATGGGTAATAAGATTTTTCAGAAGCACTGTTCTGAAACTGCATTTAAATGTCACCTTGCTGTGCAAGCTGAAGCTCTGGCCCTATCCACCAGCAGCACATGCCAAAGCATCTGACTGGCCCTGGATTATTTTTTCAGGAGCTGAGCCAGACCTGGAGTACCCTGGGCACAGGACACAGGCGCAAGCTGTGCGACTGTGCTGAGTGGGAGGCAGAGCATGGCTGGGGGACTAATGAAGAAGAGAGTGGGCCAGGAGTACCTGACAGATTTTTTGATGGTTTTTTTGCTCCTGGAATTGGCGAGGCCCCAGGGTTGTCTTTTACCCAGTCTAACCTTGTATTTCAGTAAACTAGTTCAGGACTAATAATTCTCTCTAGCTGTGTGCTCAATGAACTGCTTCTGCAGCCGATGAGAACTCAAAGGACAGCAGAGCTGGCTGATTAGAGAAATATGTACTTGCAAATTTGATCATCATTTGTAACTTGCTAGAGCTGTCTGATTCAACATCTAGGACTGGAACTAAGCTAAACTATATGTTGGGCCAGATTCTTACTTTACACAGCTGGGGACATCTGCACAGACTTAAGAGATCTTGACTGTGAGGTTGGCATGATCCTGCCTAGACCCGCAACATTTTTAACAAGAGTTTGCCTTGCTGGTGATCTGTGAGAGGAGGACAGTGGTGAACGGACAGCAGGGTGCGCTTATCTTGGGACAGCTCGCATCAGGTATGGGTGTGGATAGCTTATCAAGGCATAGAGACCATCCTCCCGTGGTTTGGGCTGGTCCTCAGGGAGAACAAAGCTGAATTTCTGCAGGAGAGTGGTAAAGAAAATAAAGAGCTCCATCCTGGCCAGCTGTTCGCCCAGGCAGACACGGCGACCTGCGATAGAGGGAAAGTGTCCGTGAAATATGACATTAAACCAGGCTGGAATCGCTGTGCGAGGAGATCACCCTGCTGCCATGCCTCTGACTTGAAGCTGGATCCTCCCCTCTGATTTACCTGCTGAGAAAGGCAGGAAGGCCTCTCGTTTCACAAACTGCCCGTTCGCATCCAGGAAGTGTTCAGGGTAAAACTCATTTGGCTTCTCCCAGACTGTCTCATCCTTCAGCACGGAAGACAAGTTGGTGATGATCGTCGTCCCCTGCACTCCACCACAAGAGGAAACAACTTGTGTGAGAAAAGCAGAGTTATCTGGGCACAAGGGGTCAGTGCTGGTACCTCTCTAGTCTGTGTCTCCCATCTAATCGCAACCATTGCTCTGTGCTTGAGCATAAGGCACTGGTCTCCTCTTCCAGATTTAATTTGAAAAAAAGGTAAAGCAGGGCCCATTTTCCAGTGCTGTGTGGTGCCTGCCCTATGCTCTGAAGCATCTGAACTTTAGCAGTTTGTATCCTTACAAAGGCCATAGCAGGCAAATACCAATTTTGTGCTTACACAGTGGTGATAGTCCCTGCTTCTCAGATCCTCCTGCACTTATTTTATAGCTGGAGGGAAAAAGCTGACTGACAGACTTCAAAGCCCAACTATCACAGGGGTCACTGGAAATTAGAAAGCTTTTCTGTTTCACATGCCAATGGTCTAAGCTAGAGGAGATATCACAAGGCTAAAAAAAAAATAAATAAACCTCAGACTTGTATTGCCACCAGTGCTGCCAGGGCAGCTGCCTGTTACAATGGCAGTGGCCTGAATGCCAGTGGCATTTGAATAGCTTCAGAGATTAGTTTTAACTACTGCAGTCTTAAGAAAGCTGGTAAGCTGGTGTTGTGTGCCTCCAGAGAGCCTGTTAGGCGCCGTTACTTTCTCCTTCCAATATAGACAGTGAATGTCACAGCTGACTGAGAGGAAAGCAGACCTTTGCACTGAGCCGCCATTGCAGTTAGGTTCCCACATACTCAAACCTGGAGCACAAATGCGACCATCTGCCTGGACTTAGCATTTTAAAATGTCCTACCTCTGTGCTCAACAGTGACTATAATTTGGGGCTGGAAATGCAACACTGCAGAGTTGCGTGGGGTCACCCACACCCCATGCCATGACATCCGCACAGGGAGAGGATGCTGCATTGCCTCTCTGGCCACAGTCACCTTGGGAATGAAGAAGCCTTGCAACTCAGTGTCCCGGTACGTCTTGTGAGGTAGTCCAGCAGGAACGATATCCCCATAGCGTTGCACTTCATGGATCACAGCGTTAGTGTAGGGCATGTTCGCCTGGTCCTGCATGGTGGGTGGTCTCTCTCTGCCAATCACCTTATCAATCTCTGCTTGGACCTTCCCTGAAAGCAGCAGAGCTCAGGAATTAGAGTGCCCTTAGATAAACAGACAAGCTGTAGGAAGGCTGGCAGCAAGCATGACATTGTAGACACTGGGAGAAAGCAGGACAGGCAGTTAGAGAAAGGAACAGAAACTAGAGGGGAATGCATGTGTTCAGTTGCCCAAAGTCATCTGTGTAACTGTTCTGTGTGCATAGTGCCTTTATTAAAAGTCTTGTCACTTGACACGCTACCTACCTCTCCTCTGCACAGCAGAAAGGCTACTTGGGCATGCAGCACCAGAGAGTTAAAGCAGATTAGCATCTATTCCAAATACCGAAAAGAAGGTACTCTGGCTACTGAAAGTGCCCAAGTAGCCTTCAAAATGAAGGTCAGAGCAAATTTGTCCTTCTAGCTCTAGTCTTTTTGTCAGGGTTTCCCCACTACCACTGGTTCCTGCTGGAATAGCTGTGTTTGGGAAGTGTTTCTCCTGGTTTCTGCAAGACCAACAATCAGCAAAAGGGTTCCTCATTGCAAAATTCCCAAGCCATGGAGAAAAGATGGTCAGTCTCCTCACAGAGAAATGAGGGTTGAAGGGAAGACACCACAGCTCTGCCTGTCTTCTGACTTACTCTGTATTTCTGGGTGCAGAAGCATGTACAGAAATGCCCACCGCAGAGTGGTGGAAGTGGTCTCAGAACCAGCTGAAAACAAGTCTGCAGTCACCAGACGAAGGTTGTTATAGCTGAAACCATTCTCTTCAGCTGCCTTACCCTGTAGAGAGCAAACAAGAGGGTGATTTGAGCTGGGGTACTTGCTAGTCGAGAAGACTGTTGTTCCAGCGAAATACTTAGAAGCACTAGGTCCATTTTTGCTGAGCAAGAAGCTTATTGCGAGAGGAGAGCACAACACAGGCAACGGTCTGTGTGTGACTGATGTATTTCTTTAACCCTGTTACCTCATGTATTTGAAGGCCATCAATCACCTACTGTATCCTGAGAGATGATGGCTACACCTGCCTTCAGGACAGAAGCGAACACCTTGTGCTCTCAGCTCAGACAGACAGCAGGCCCCTGCCACTTGCCATCACACCCTCCCCCAGATGAGGTGAAACGCAGTTTTTCAGGTTTGATCAGATCATAAGGCCCACGCAGTAGAGAGTAGGCTGCATTGATGTGGCAGATGCAAAGTCAACAGTATTTTGAGGGGGTTATCTATAGTTATGCATTATGGTTTCTCACTGCTTCTGCTCTGCTATTTTCTTACAATCAAAAAAAAAAATAATCAGCGTATCATTGCCGCTTATTACGTCTGCAACACCAATTTCAGCAAAACTGGTCTCTCATCCAGATGCTAATTGAGCTCAAATTGGTTAGCATATGAGATATGACAAGCTCTCTGCATGAGTTCATCTGCTTGTCTTTTCTAATCCTCTTTATACTTTCTTTTCCTAGGGACTAGCTTCTGTTTAAGTTATTCTCCATATTTTGATGCTGCTGTAATATGGATAGCAATTAAGAAGGCACTTAAGACTCAACTGTTATTTCAAAAGACCTCTGGCAAGGAAGCGATGGGGCTGACCTGACCACAGTTAACCCTGTAGAGGGATTTATCAGACCAGCTTCCCAGAGGACCTCCGTGAACGGAAGAGACATGTCACAAAAGGCAACACGATCGGGCTCACATCCACCCCCAAAGAGTACTACTCAGTGCAGAGGAACGTAAGTCACGTTGCTCTGCCTGTGCGAGCTGGGGGAGGGTAACGCACGGGCTGGAGGTGCCCAGCGCCCGCAGCACGGCAGAGTTTCTTATACGTGGCGGCAGTCCAGCCTGAGGACTTGGATAGCAGAAGCAATTCGCAGGCAGAATTTGCTACTGTTGCTCATCTGGCACCTGAAAGTCTATGTGCAGAAACTTACGGCGGATGGATGGGATGATGCAAGTCCCTTTGATTTTATACTGACTTCATGCCTGACTGTATCAAAGGAGGGACTCCTTTTGTTTTAGCAAGGTTCAGAGTTAGGCCTTCGCCTGATCTGTAGGGAACTAATTCTAAGCAAGCAATGCGAAGGCACACATCCCAAAGGTGATGCTGTCTTTCCAAGTGATATCTTGCTTTAAAGACAGGCTACGGACTGGGCAATGATAACAAAGGCAGTCTAGTGCTGCAGTTTTGTAACTGATTTTGAGACATTAATCATTAAGGCACTGACATACACAGAATCATGCAAGTTGAGTAGTCCCCTGCAACAAACTTAGAAATACCAGTAAATTCTGAATCATTGCCTTTTAAATGCCTTCAAAATGGTGTAAACTGGAAAGAAGGCCATTGCTAGGCTCTGAGGGGAATGTGAAAAAGGGAATGAGAACTTCAGCAGCTAATATGGTCTCTTAAGGCAATAAAGAAGGTCACAGCATGAAGAAGTTAACACCTTTCTTCTGAAGATACAATGTGGAATGAAGAAGTAAGAAATTAGTAAGAGATTTTATACAGCTTTACGAGGAAAGTCAGCTTCTATCAACAAGCTTAAAGAAGCAGAGGAGTTGCCCCTGGACCCTGAGGTTCTGCTAGTGTCATCCTACCTTCTTCATTTCCTGTAAAAACGCATCAGTGAGATCTCGGACGTGAGCAGGGTTCCACGTCTCCATGTGCTTTTTGATGAGCACGTCTATGAAGTCCATAAATGCCTTTTGCCCTTGAAAGACTTTTTGTGGCACTCCGGGGATGCGCAACAGAATGGGCACCACGTTAAGAAGCTGGGATGTTAGAATCAGAGAGAGAAAGAGAAAGATGCTGTGACACAACCTGAAAAATAATGAAACACAATGCTCTGAAGTCACAGAGGACAGCTTCTTACAGAACTTAATATGCTCTTGGTTCACCTGAGGCAGGAATCCGATTTCATCCTCCAGGGACTTTTTGAACAAATGTAACAGCTTCTTGAATGTCTCATCACCATAGTCAAAACGCTCTCCATAGACGGTGGTGCAGATCACATTGCAGACAGCATTAAATACAAGAGAATGTATATTGAAAGGACGACCTAAAAATGGAAATGGGTACCAAGCAATGAAGCTAAGCAACACCAACCTGTTGGACCTCAGCTGTCAGCAACAAGAATACACAGATGCCTCCAAGAGAAAAAGCCTCCAAACCACTCAAAGTACAAATGTGTCAAGAAGTGAAGATCTTCTCATCTCCTGCTGCTATTTGGTTGAGCCTTGTTTAAAGAAAACTCGCCAGAGAAGCTGACTTGCAGGGCTGTTCTTTACTTTGTGTCTAGATGACAGGCAATGGGCCATGAAAACTCTCAGCTGCACTTTGATTGCACATGTTAATACCAGTATGTTCCACAGTAGTCCGTAAAGGTACCCGGCTCTGGGAATAATTATATTTGACTTCTTTACTTCTATGTATTTCCTATTTGTTTCCCATTTCAAATGTATTAGTGTTACAGCAGCCCCACTGTATAAAGTAGAAGTGACCTCAAGGTAGAGCAGGGTAATTAATGTGTACAGACTAGAAGCACTGCATTTGCTGAAGAAGAGGGCCCTACATGCAGACAAAAGGGGTTGTAGTATTATTTCTCTCCCAGCATCACTCTATTGCCTTTTTTAATGTTCCCCATCCTTCTGCATGTGACAAACCTTCTGCAGAATTGATTGCAGAGCACAGAAATCCAGCTTCTTCTACCACTCTCTCCTCCAAGGATTTCTTTCCCATCCCGAAGTTCCTCAAAGTAGAGAGCGAGAATTTCCTTAGCTCCTTCCAGACATGTCCATATCTTGCAAAAACAACCCCTGGAATTAGGGATGAAAAAGAAACATCAGGAAATCTGAGCTGTACATCAAGCAAAGTTTGATAGACAATAGCAAATGTGAGTTTGGAGGTACAGGCCTGTGTGGATGGATGGAAAGCATATGATCTTGTACAGCTTGTTCGTGCAGTAATTCTAAAAATGGATTACTGCACCTTTTCATGCATGTGCATGGCTAGCGAAGGTGGAGAGGGCATTCAATAAGGGCAGCAAGTGCTGCTAAGGATGAACAAATCGCTCCCCCAAACCATTCAGCGTTGCACCATTACCGTGTGTGAACTGGGTAAGAGCTTGTGCCACTGCAGAGGAGCTAAGGGTGAGAGATGTGGATGCTGGTTAATGCTCTGTTTTGGAAAAACAGTTACCATTTGTTTTGTGATGACAACGATATGCACAGAGTGTGTAAGAATAAGGACTGGAAAAACAGTTACCATTTGTTTTGTGATGATAACGATATGCACACAGTGTGTAAGAATAAGGATTAATCCACTGGGTGTCAGGAGCTGCCAGCTCCAACATCGGCAGGAAGTTGTATCACTGGCAGTGTCCTAACACCGCTGAAGACGGTGTGCTAGCACTTGGAGCTGTACCTCAGCCACTTAAGGGGGGGCCACTTTTCATCAAATCTCATTTTGTCACCACCAAAGGGTGATAGACATACATTGAGATTGACCAGAGGGACATGAGAGGGCAGCACCGTACTGAGGAAATCTTCCACCACCCCACCATCTACCAAGTCCTCATGCTAATGCCAGCAGGGAATGACAGTTCTCCAAGGGACTTGCCTTCAGATTTACTTCCGTAGCCCATATGTTCATATATTGGGAAGTATGGCCGGTCAGCAAAGTCCTCTGATCTGTGCACCAGGGCTTCCTTCACGGTTTTATACCCATTCAGCACTACCACATTGTCCCAGCAGTTCTGGAGACTGTAGATGTTTCCATACTTCTTGTGAAACTGCCAAGATAAAAAAGTACATCCCTGAAAATAAGATGAATGTAACCTCAAAAATATCACCATGTCCTTCTTTAGGGCCTTCACTATTGAGTGATTTTTGAGGTGCTTTTATCCAGTGATCTTCAGCCGATATTTTATCTTTGTCTTTGCAGTGCAACAGCTCAGAGCAGTGCTAAACAGCAGCTGAAGCAGGGATCAATGCTCTGTGAGTGGAAGGATTTAGAATACACCTATCCTGGCCAAACGGTTGCCATGACCATTGTGCAAGTATTTTGGATTTTATCTGACAACAAGATCAAGGATCTTTGGGGAGATTTTCAAAAGCTGCATGCTCAAAACCAAATTATTTCCTAATACTTGTATATATTTTGATCTGAAAGAGTAGGCAAGTTTTGAATTAGTTTACTGATGATAAAGTGTTACGTAATTATTTTTTTTTGACTAATCATTTTTCCCTAAAGATCTATCCAGAGCCTGGTTTCCAGAAACAGAGTTGGAAGAGGCAATTCCACACTGGAGTCAACTTCCTCCCTAAAAGGAGCATACCCATCTAGTAAGATTGGTAACTGGCACACACCCTACATCTGTTGTAATCTATAAGAGACATAATGCTGACAATGGGATGCCTGCACAGGTACACCTGTCAGACATACACTCACTGTGGGAACTTGCCATGGGGCTAACTCTCCTCTAGGTAGATAAGCCCTTTGACTGGACATAGACTCCTGGGAAGGCAGGTCGAAGCTCCCCTGCTAGTCACTAACACTGAACCCAGCGCTCAGGAGCATGCTGGAAGGCAGTGCAATAGTAGCAATGCCCCACAGAGTGTGCTCTGTTTCCTTTTTTTTTTTCCCCCTGATGTTTTTTTCGAGAGTGTGTGTGTTTTAAAAAGCCAAGTCTATTCATTTCTGCACTGTAGCAATGCAATGAATTGAAGTAGTATTTGCAGGGGAGTTGGGAAGGGAATCAGCACTTCACTGGCACTAGAAAGACAGGATTAAAAGCTCAAGACTGTGGTTAGCATCAACCTGATGTGATTTGAAAATGGTAATATTTTGGTCTGTATGCAAGCCAATAATACAAATGCTTTATTTAGTTTCTCCATGTGGCAGATTTTGGAGAGACAGCTAAACAGTGCCATCCCAGAGAAAAGGCCTTTAGAGTTTGCAAACGGCTGCTGGGACAAATCCTCTAAGCCGATCCGTTTAACATGTGCTTAAGGAACTTGCAGGGAAGCCTGCCATTCCTGCAGCCACATTCCCAGCCCACGGATATTTGCTTGTTTCCCCTTGTTTGTACATGTCCCTGTTCCCTTGTCTGCATAACTGCCTGCGTGTTAAGGTGGTGGCCAGCTCCACAGCAGAGCAAGCATCGTCTGCTACTGGGGCACAACAGCATCTCCCACTGAGCTCACGCAGAGATCAGGAGATGGAGGCTGGTGGATGTCTGTGTGTGATCATCTATTTATCTGTATGGGCCAGATCAGTGATCCTGGGCAGTGACTTGCTTCATCCTGGACTTGGAGAGGGCACTGCCCTTTGGTTTTCTGCAAGGGTAGATGTTGCCAGCATGTCCCCACCCTGGGCCTGTGGTTGTGTGGGATCAGCACTTACCTGGCTGAAGGAGTGGTGGGGATTGTGGAAGTCAACGCGCAGCATAGTCCCAAGGAATGGTAGCGACACTGGGCCCGGAGGGTAACGGCTCCACTTCTTCCTGCGCTTCATGAAGTCAAGTAGTAAAGTAAAGACTGTAAGAAAAACTCCCAGTACAGAGATGTTGCTCCAGCAGAATGACAGCTGGGACTCCAGCCACAGGAGCAATGCCATTTTGTAGCCTGTCTACTCCTTGTCTTCCCCTTTTGGCCCAAGGCTTTTTCTGACTCTTTTTGCCTTTTCTCCTGTCTACTCTCTCACTTCCTTCCCAGGCAGCTGCCCTCTTCTTGCTTTCTCCTCCTCCCCACACTCTTTTTCTGTTTCGCTGCTACTCTCTCCCTGCCGTTGCTGGCCTCCAAATGCTGGACTTTGCTCAAACCTGGAGCTCCTCCCCTGCTTACATCAGCCTCAGAGAAGTGGTGATGAGGGTTACACCTCCTCTTTCTCCTCCAAAGCCAGAGCTCAGAGGCGGATTTGTCCCTGCGGCTGGTGGCAGCTCCCACAGTTGTGCCCTCTGTGGGGCAGCTGGGTGAGGTCCAGAAGTTTGGGTGCCATCTCCCACAGCCAAGTTGGGATTGCAGTTCATGACAAGCAATCCAGGCTTGCTGCAGCCTCACATGGTGATTTCAAAAGAGTTTAAGTCTGTGTCACCTCCTTGTTTGTACAGAGCCATAGCTCCTAAACATAGATCCATCCAAGTTCCTGTTTGCGAGGCTGAGGATTTGTTCCACTAGCTCTTGGGAAAGCTGATGTGAGGTCAAGCTTTCCCCTACAGAAAGCACTTGCCACAGGCCTAAAATGGTGACCTGAGACTTTAAAAATAATTTATGTTTCTGGGAAGAACAGTCTTTATCCATCTCCAAATGTCACCATGATGACCTTGACTGTTTTAGAATACATCTCAGCTACAAGAGAGAAAGCACATGCATTGCAAGGATCCTTGAATTTCTAGCTTTTGTGGCAGCAGTAATGTAAACACAATTAGGGAGATAGTCAAAGTGGCTCCTAAAGCAGCACAGCTCTGTGCTCCTGGCATCCCCGCCACCAGAGATCAATGAAGCTTGCTCTTACCACAGTACTAGCTAAAAAGAAGCAGTACACCCATCACAGCTTGATCTGTGATCTCAGTGTGATCAGAGAAAATCTCCTGATGGAGCAACTGCTGCAACAGCGATAGGGAGCTCAGACTGCAAAGTGCTGCACCTGCAAAGAGCAGGCAATCAGCTCGGGTATGCAGGCAGGGCCTTGAAATGCCCCTTGCCCAAAAGGGCACCGATACCACTCATTATCTGTGTGCAGAGGTCCCCTCCCTGGAACCTCTACAGCATGATCCTGTCTGTTCCTTACGAAAGCATCATGACGCAAGGTTCATTTGCAGTATCTGTAAATAAACATCTGCAGCACAGGGAGCAACAGGGCAAACTACCAGTCCCCACGCAACTGCAGAATTATGATTTCTTTTGGATTACAGCAACATGGTGCGATAGCTCACATGGCTGGAGAGCTGCCACAGATGGACACACGCTTTTCAGGAAAGACAGGCTGGAAACAGTGACGAGCAATGGTGCTTTATGCAGAGGAGTGCTCAGAGCTTTGCCTCAGGACAGGTGATGAGGCAGCTGAGTGCTTGTAGGCAAGGGGAAGAGGGCAAAGCAACCAAAACAGGCAGTGTCCTGCTAGGCACTCACTACTGACTGGCTGATCAAAGAGAGCATGTCGATGGAGCCATCTCACACATTCAGGTGTACTGTAACTGGAAGAGCTATGTGGTCAGGCACAACCTGAGTGGATTCTGGAGTGGGCTGAAGACAATTTCTTGACACAGGGGATTGATGAGACAACTAGGGGAGATGCTCTGCTGCATTTGCTGTTCACAAAAAAGAAAGATTTGATCTGGGACGTGATGGTCAACATCAAGATCGCCTGCAGCAACCATGAGACTGTGGAATATTAAGTCTGGCAATAAGTTGGTGGGACAAACAGCATTACTGCCCTTTGCCTTCAGGAGACCACATTTTACCTCATTCAGGGATCTGCTTGGCAGGATCCCAAAGGGAGTTGCTGTGGAGAGCAAAAGGGCCCAGGAGAGGTGGTTGTTCTTCAAGGGCAGTGCATGTCAATTATTACCTTGACTTCAGAGAAGCCTTTAACACTATCTCCCACAGTATCCTTGTGGCTAAATCGATGAGATACAGACTGGCAAGATAGACAAAGTGGGTGGACACTTGTTCAGATTATGGGACTCAGCAATTTATTGTCAGCTGTACTAAGTGCCACTGGTGGCTGATCACTAGACATGTGCCTTACGTATCTGTACTGGCACTGACAAAGTTTAACATATTTATTAACAACCTGGATGATGCAACAGAGAGCTAGTACAGCCAGGGAGAGCTAACAAGAGCTGAAGTATGTTTGTGGAGTAGTCTGGGAGTTTGTTGGCTTTTCAGTAGCCGCCACATTTCAAACAGCTCTACTGCAAGGTCTCAGAAAAAAGAGCTGTGACAGTCCTGTACTTAGCAAGCTGGCTTGAGCAGGAGATGGCTGAATGCTAAAAGGTGGCCAAGGGGTTCTTCATGCACTGATTTGCATGACCCATGCCCTCAGATGACAAGTGAAAAGATAGGAAATATGGTCCCGAGAAGGTCAGTGGACATTTCCTGATAATCCCACTGGTAAAAGGTTGTTACCCTGCCCATTTTAATTTATTTTGAGCTCCGCTTTTATGAACTTCAGCTGAAAAATATCCACCTGGGGTCTTTCCTTTTTGCTTATCTCAGCTAGAGCCAAAGGCTGTCTGACTCCCATCACTCACCTCTAGGCTGTAGGGGTATATGTTTCACAAGTGGATTTACTTCTAATGAACATCGCCCTGGAATATCATCAGACAAGTAGCTCTCCAGCTGCTCTTCTTCCTGTGGCTCAGCCTTGACATAATGTGACAAAGCTGCAAGCTAACAAATGCACCAGCTTCAGGAATAAAAAAAAATTACTACAACATTTCCCCCTCCCAGTTTACACCTTTCCAAAGCATCTCAGAGTAATGATCTTTACCTCTGCCTCCTTCAGGCTGCAAATGAGACAGCTCCTCCACTTTTGGCTAGGAGAATGGACTGCCATTCCTGCAAGTGTTACAGTTTATCATAGAATCATAGAATGGCCTAGGTTGGAAGGGACCTTAGAGATCATCTAATCCAGCCTCCCTGCCATGGGCAGGGACACCTCTCAACTAGATCAGGCTACTCAAGGCCTCATCCAACCTGGCCTGGAACGCCTCAAGGGAGGGGGCAGCCACAATTTCTCTGCACAATTTATTCCAGAGTCTTGCCACCCTCATACTGAAGAATTTTTTCCTAAGATCCAATCTAAATCTATTCTCCTTCAACTTAAACCCATTTCCCCTTGTCCTATCAATGGACGCGTTTATAAAAAGTCCCTCCCCAGCCTTCCTGTAGGTTCCTTCAGCCTTTGGAAGGCAGTTATAAGGTCCCCTGCAGAGTCTTCTCTTCTCCAAGCTGAACAATC